AGTAAATTATTAATGCATTTTTTTTTCTTTTAAGCAGTTATTTGCAGCAGTCTCGGTGTATTTCTCATTAGAAATAACATCATCTGAAGAACTTATATTGATTCTTTTTTTTTTTTCCCCTTCTTTTTTTTTTTTTTAATCTCCAAATCATGGACGTGAACAACATATTTCTGTGATGTTCCCTTTAACTAGAATTCTCAGGCTTTATTTTTATATTATTGATCTTTCTGACATGCATTGCTTTTTGGCCTTGTGAAAACGTTGGGAGCTGCTCCTGCCTTTGGAGGAGTGGGGGGGGGGGCTGTGGAAGCAGAGGGTGCAGTGGGTCTGTGTGGGTGTGTGTGGTGGCTTTGGCCGTGTGGGATGGGGCTTTGTGGGTGTGGAGTGGGTGTGCAGTGGGTCTGTGGTGTGTGGGATGGGTTTGTGTGGGTGTGGAGTGTGTGTGCAGTGGGTCTGTGCATGTGTGTGATGGGTTTGGCCATGTGTTAAGGTTCTGTGTGTGTGCAGTGGGTCTGTCTGGGCGTGCAGTGGGTGTGCGATGGGTCCGTGGGTGTATGTGATGGGTTTGGTCATGTGTGAAGGGTCTATGTGGGTGTGCAATGGGTCTGGGGATGTGTGTGAGGAGTTTGGTCACGTGTGAAGGATCTGTGTGGGTGTGCAATAGGTTTGTACAAGTGTGTGATGGATCTCTGTGGGTGTGCAATAGGTTTGTACAAGTGTGTGATGGATCTGTGTGGGTGCAATGGGTCTGTGTCCATGTGCAGTGGGTCTGTGTGGGGGTGCAGTGGGTCTGTGACTGTGTGTGATGGGTTTGGCCCTGCGTGATGGGTGTGCAAGGGGTTTGTGAGTGTCTGTGATGAGTGTGCAGTGGGTTTGTGGGTGTTCAGTGGGCTTGTGTGGGTGTGGTTGTTCTGTGACCATGTGTGATGGTCAGTGACTGCGTGTGGTGGATTTGTGTAGGTGTGCAGTGGGTGTGTGCGTGTGTGTGGTGGGTTTGTGCATATGTGAGGGATCTGTGTGGGTGTGCGGTGGATTTGTTCGTGTGCAATGAGTGTGTGATGTGTCTGTGGGTGCCTGTGATGGTTTTGTGCATGTGATGGGTTTGTGTGTGCAGTGAGCTTGTGCACGGGGGCACGATGGGTCTGTGGGTGTGCAGTGAGCTTTGTACGTGTGTGAGGTGGGTTTGCACGTGTGTGTTGGGCCTGTGAGCATGTGTACAATGTGTTTGTGTGGGTGTGCAAGGGTTTGTATGTGTGTGATGGGTTTGTGGGTGTCTGCAATGGGTTTATGTGTGTGTGTGCTGGACCTGTGGGTGCACGGTGGGTCTGTGGGTGTGTGTGATGGGTCTGTGGGTGCGTGATGGTTTTGTGGGTGCACAATGGGTCTGTGGGTGCATAGGGAGTCTGTGGGTGAGTGTGATGGGTCTGTGGGTGCACAGAGGGTCTGTGGCTGCACAGTAGGTCTGTAGGTGATGGGTTTGTGGGTGCACAGTGGGTCTGTGCACACACATGATGGACTTAAGGTGTCATTTGAACACGAAGCACTTGAGAGGCACCAAAGGACCCCAACACATGGGTCGTCCATCCCAATCACCCAGACCTCTCCCGGGACTGCAGCTTCTTCCCAGTCTCCCCCCCCTTGCCACCCTCCCGCTCTCCCCGACTTCTTTACACATCAGCAAAAAAAAAAAAAAAAAAAAGGCGAGGAAAATAGCAAAGGCTTGAATTAATTTTTTCATCAGTTTTCTTCAACATTTGGGGTCTCTGCTGCCGCTTTCTCCCCCGACAGCTGTTCCTCTACGCTGAAAAAGAGCTCATTTGTGGTTTACTGCCACCAGTATTTAGATGGAAATAACCCACTACTTATCCTGCACTTGATCTCGTGGATATAAGAATAAACTCACCGCCGGTGCGATGCAAATCCCGCGCCTTTGGAGCGGGGACGCTCAGACGGTCGGTCCTCGCCGCCGCGCCAGGAGGAGCACCGGCTGCGCCGGGGGAGTTTTACCATTTTGTCAGTCAATTATAGTAATATTTCTGCTTCCAAATGTTTAAAAAGTTGGCTTCGGAAGGTATAATCATGGCACAGAGGCCAGCCTGACAATAGTAATTAATTAGGCTATTACGCATTCTGCAGTGATAATTGCTTTGCTGGAAAGTCACCAGCCATGAAAAGGACCCGGCGCGTAAATGTAATTTATCAGGCGGCGGCGATCCCGCGATGCTGCCGGGCCTCACCTTGAGCCTGCGGACGCTGCGGAGGGAGACGGAGGGGGGAAAAATGGGAATTAAGAGTCCATCGATATGTGAGGCGGAGGCAGAGCTCGCTGCCGGCGCCTCTGTGGGCAGAGGGAGAATGTGATGCATTTGCATCGTGGGGATTTGGGGAACAGGGATGGGGCCATCCTGACCCCACAGAGCCAGGGCTGCTTCCAGGGATGCTCAGCTCCCCTAATTATTTCCATTTTCTCCTCTATTTAGCAGGGTGCTGGTGGTATCTCCCTCTTGGATGCGGGCGTGGGGTTTGGTCCCTGCTTCTCGACAAAGCAGGGATTTAGGGGTTTTAATTACAAAACCTTGATTTTAGGACTGATGTGGGCTTTTCCCAGGTGTTTAGAAATAACAGCAGTTTCAGAGTTGGGGTGAGCTATCCCTGTGTGGGGCTCGGAGCTGCTCTGGCAGGAATCTCCTGTGGCATTTGAGTAAATTATCCCCATCTGGAAAAGATTGCTGAAAATGTTACATATCTTTTTTACTGACATTTCCTTGAAGTTTAGTGGGACTCTGGAAGAACCACGTGGGTACCTGGCTTGCCATCCTGCTGGTTGCCCACGCTGGTGATGCCCTGGCACCAACATGGGCTGGAATGTGCCAGCCTGAGCTGGAGCCCAGGGCAGGGGGATGGGGCAGGAGCTGGGCTGGTGAAATGGTCCCCAAATTCCTTGTCTGATGGAATGGCCCCCAAGTGCCTCCTCATCAGAAAGGATCCTATGGCTCCAGTTAAGATGCTGATGGTAGTTAATGAGTAGAAAGGGGATGCACTGGGTCTGTGGGTGCTCCATAGGAATTTGGGCTTAGTGGTGGGTTGACCCCTCTCATGAACCAGGAGGAAACTGGATCCATCCCTGGTGAACCTCTGGGGTGTGGCCATGGGGAGACCAGGTCCAGAGGACCACGGCGTGGGGGTGCTGCAGGCTCCTTCCCACTCCAGAATCACAACATTCCTAGTGAGGGATACTTGGATCTCAATCGGGATTGCTGAGGAGAGGGAAAGGCTTCAAAGTTTCCCCTTGAAAAGTGCTTTGTCTCTATGATGTGACTTGAGGAATGAAATTCAGTGGGAACAGCTTGATTTGGAGTTTGGGCCATCTCCTTACCCCTGGCATGGGTTGGGGATGCACAGGGAACAGGCACAGGTGATAGAGAGGGAATGGGGAACATTTGGGCTGGATCTTTGCTCTGCACCATTTGGTTGATGCCATCTCAGGGGAGGTGAAGCTCTTCAGAGCAGCTTGGGCAGGCCCAGGCATCCCCATCAGCCCGTAGCAGAGCTGTGCCCATGGGCTGTGCCACTCCCTTGTAAAGTCCAAAGGGTTTGGGATGTGTGGGTCACACAGGACTGATGCCATGAGCACCGTGGTGTCTCCACATCCTTACAGCCCCCCCATCAGGGCTCCCCATGGGTGGATGCCACGTGCCACCGGCAAATCCGGTGACACAAAGCTGTCCTGCTCCACCACACGGGCCGTGCCTCCCGCCAGCTCCTCTCTCCCTTCCTCCTCCCTTCCCCACTTTATTATTATTATTTTAAAGCACCCTGAAGCCAAGCATTTTTGCAGAACACCGGAGAAAAGCTCCCAAATTCCTCCTCTGCTGGAAACGTGGCGCTGAGAAAGTAGGTTTGTGTACGAGCCGCTATAAAAAGCCCGGCTTATACAATTTTAACAATAGAAAAATGATCTTTGTGCTCCAGTGCCTGCGAGCTCGGGAGGAGAAAGCGGTTTGCTCAGGTGGCTGCTGGATTACAAATGAGCCGTTTGCTTTGGGTTGGAATGACAAGCAATGGCAGTCCAGGCTGGCGGGGCGAGCCGGGAGCTCCGCTGGCATGGAGGAGGGAAAAGATGCTCCGATGTGGGAGCTGCCACTGGGCTGAGGCACGAAGTTCAGGCTTTGTTTCATAATTAGCCCATCAGCGGCTTAAGAGCGGTTTAATTGACTATTTCACTGTTGTGTCTGCTGGGTGGGCACCTTTTCCTCCACCCAGTTTGGCACCAACTGGACATTTTCCATCTGGGAATGGGTCACCTCCATCCCTGACGCCTGTGCCCAGGCAGCAGGGACACAGAGGTCTGTACATCCCACCAGTGCCCCATCCTGGATGGGAGGGGTAACAAGGGGACCCAGTGGGCAGCAGCCCCTGCCCCGAGGTGTCATTGTACCTTGAAAAATTAAAGGGAGTAAATGATTCATGCTCATAAATGTTGGATGGGAACATGCAGCAGATTAATATGTTGTTGGGTTATTAGGGCTGTGCTGTGCCATCCCCCCCACCACCCGGCTGGTGTGAACATCACCAGCACCCCAACAGCCGAGGGGAGACAGGGGCAGGAGCAGGTGGAGATATCCCATTTCCAGTGTGAGCATCACTTGCACCCACAGCACTGTACCGGGAGGGTGGCTGGGGAGGGCCGTGGGCTGGATCCAGCCTGGCAAGCACAACAATGGCCAGGCTTCTTTATTTCTTATTTAAGCGCTGACATTAAATTATAATTTTCATTTACTCAGAGCACATCAATGATTTAGGGCGACGTGACATGGCAGCGGCATGAGGAGTTTAGCCAAAGGCAGCGAGTGGCTGCACAGGGCATGGAGGGGACACGGAGCTGTGCCGGGTGGGGGGGGACCCGTGTGCCGGTGCTGGTGGTACCGGTCCCGTTGGCTCGGCAGAGCCAGTTCCTTCCTCTAAGCCCATCCCTGACCCGTTTATCCATCTCCCTGCAGGTGATTGCACTTAGTAAGAGAAGCAAGGAGGCTGAGACGGCTTTCCTGAGCGTTTACAAGCAGTTGCTGGAAGCTCCAGGTAAGCAGCACGGTGGCGACCTGGCTGCCTAACGAGTCGCGCGCCGGTGCCGAGAGGAACCAGCGAGGACCGCGGCACCCGTCCCCGGCGTGGCCGGCGCATGGTGCTCTGGAGATACCAGCCGAAGAGAGGAGAGGAAGCAGCTTTTGCCATCGCTGTGTTTCAGCCCCTGAGCCAAATGCATCTTGACATTAGGAAAGGAATACATTTGCTCAGCCCGTGTAGTAACACTGCGGCTATTCCCAGTTGTCTTTTTGATGGTAAGTTAACCCAAGCACCAGCACGAGCCACGGGGACACCCTTGAAGTCATTGCTTGAAGTCTTGGGGGGGGAAAACTGAGGCACGGGGCAGCCGTGAGGTTTGTGTTGGCAGAGCTGGTGCCAGGGACCAGTGAAGGGCTTGGACCCCCCTCCTGCTGCTCCCCACTTTGTGTGGGTTTGTTTGCGCCAGGCACGGAGCGTCCCCCGGCATGGCGGGGACAGAGAGCTGCAAACGGCTGAAGATGCACGGAAAGGCTCCTGCAGGGCCACTAATTCATTTTCCAGACATTTAGGAATAACAAAATGTTTTAATGATTTCTTAGGGGAATTAGGGAGACATATTTTTGTCCTCATTAAATTTTCTCCTGTGCTACAAGAACCAAATGTCAGCTCGGTTTCCAGAACCCAGTTATCTTCCCTCCCCACCTCCCCATGCTCTCCCGCTGCGCTCCTCCTGCTCGCACACGCCTGCACACGGATACACACACGTGCACACCCCAAAACTGCTTCCCTGTGGTCTCTGCACTCCTCCTCCTCCTCCTCCTCTTCTCCTCTCTCTGTTCTCCACAGCAGCATCTCTTGCTCCCCTCCTGCTCCCCAAATCCTCCCGCCCGTGGTTCATCCCTGTCTGTTCCGTGTCCGCGTGTCTCTCGACAGGCGAACTCTTTGTGGAACACTTTCCAAGCGCCACATAAGTCCTGATTCGACATTTTTTGCTTTGAATGGCTGCTGTCAACACAAATCTCTGGCAGAGACTGTAACAGAGCCTGATTGCTCAGCAAGTATTTTGATAAGTGAGCTGGCTGTGTGTCTGTAATTACGGGAGAAAACCGTAAATCTTTTGGATATTGTTCACACAGATGTGGCGTGAAGGGAAGGGGGGGAAGCAGTAAAATGTGTTAAAAGCATAATTAATGTCATTGTTGTTGGGGATGATTTGATTTAAGGCTGACTTTGACTCGTGGAGGGATTTGCAGGGCGCTGGTGGATGTGTTTGAGCAGGTTGGAATGGGGTGGCAGAGGAGATGCTGCCCTGGTGGGAGAGGTGACAGCACCGTGGAGGTACCATGGATACCCCATGGGTTTCCCATGGGTGCATCACGAGTGCCTCGTGCTCCTCTTGGAGCCAGGCAGCAGCTTGGAGCAGATGTCACCCTTCAGCCCCCGGCATGGAGATCTCCACCTAGGGCTGGGTCAAGTGGCCCTGGCACAGGGATGAGCTGGTGGTCCCCTGGGATACAAATGCTCCCTGGAGCTGTGCCTGCTCAGAGAAGGTGATGAGAACCCAGAACTCCTCCTGGCCCATCCTGCCATCACACAGGTGCCTCAAGCTGCTCCAGTGCCCACAGAGCTCAGGGAAAGATCCCCAACCCCACTCCCCATGGGGACAGCAGGGGGGACCTCTGTCCAGTCCCTGTCACTGTTAGTGAGCATCCAAAGGAGGGCCATGGAGATGGGGAAGGGTCTGAAGGAGAAGCCACATGAGGAGCAGCTGAGGGCACTTGGTTTGTTCAACTGGAGAAGAGGAGACTGAGGGGAAACCTCATCCCAAACCACAGCTTCCTCACTAGGGGCAGTGGAGGAGCAGGCACTGATCTCTGCTCTCTGTGAGCAGTGACAGGACCCAGGGAACGGCTGGAGCTGTGTCAGGGCAGGGTCAGGTTGGATCTCAGGAAAATGTTCTTCCCCCAGAGGGTGGTCAGGCACTGAACAGGCTCCCCAGGGAATGGTCACAGCCCCAAGGCTGCCAGAGCTCCAGGAGTGTCTGGACAACGCTCTCAGGGACAGGGTGGGATTGTTGAGGTGTCCTGAGCAGGGCCAGGAGTTGGACTGGATGATCCTTGTGGTGCATTCCAACTCAGGATATTCTGTGATTCTGTGATCCTGCTGCAGCACTGCCAGTGCCGCTAAAGAATGGCCAATGACGCCAGCTAGTGGCAGCACTTATTTTTATATATATATTTATTACTTATTAATTTGTTCTATATATGTATTTAAAAAGATACATATATATAGTGGGTGAAGGTATGGAGCAATAGATAAGTGTACTGGGCAGGGCCACACTGCTTCCCACAAGAGCTGGCTGTGCCATTGGTGGGTGATGCTGCACCGTGGACCTGGAGCGTGTGGTGCCCCAAGGTCCTGTTTTGGCAGAAGTGTCTCCCATGTCACCCATCACCTGTCTGTGCCAGCGGTGAGTCACCACTGCAGCAGTGTCAGGTCTAACCTGTCCCAGTGGGAGATGTGATCCATGGAGGAAGGAACTATCCCCTGTGCTGTAGGCAGCGTCCTGAGCTCCTGCATGGCTCGGAGTGTGATGGAAGTACATGGCACCCATGGCAGATGACGTGCTTGGTTTTGAGTGTGTCCTCTCTCCAGCCCTGCAGCAGGAGGGTTTGTTCACCGGCAGCACGAGCAAGGCATGAGCATGGCATGAGCTTGGCATGAGCATGGCATGAGCTTGGCATGAGCATGGCATGGGTTTGGTACCCAGTCTCAGCACCCTTGTGGCGCACCCCAGTATCTCACACGGTGTCAGAGCCAACCCCACAGCTGAGGGCAGCGTTTCCCAGTGGATGGGCAGCATGGCATTAGCACAGTGTAATTAATCCAGCCGGGCATTTTGTACCCACGCTGCCCTGGCTGACACAGGAAGCGGAGCCAAAGCACCACTTGCTCTTTTCCGTTCCCAAAGCTCCTCTCCCCACCACTTCCTCCTGGAATGTCGACTCCAAATGGGGAGCAGCGGGGGGGGTCACCCTGGCTTGGAGAGGAGTTGCGGGTGCGGATCCAGCAGGGCCTGCCCTGGTGTTTATCCCCACGGAGGCAGCTGCCAACACCCCCAGGGCAGGGGAGCGTGGGGGGGACCCCCGGCCCCTGCAGCCCCCAGAGCACAGAATTTAATTACCCGTATCGTTATCTCTGCTCGGGTACTTACGGGTGTTATTAATGGCTCTGGGAGCATCCAGTGCGGTTCGGGCTGTGCCACATCACCACAATTCCCTTTGATGGTGTGGTCCTGCATCCTTGGGTGGGAAACCAGCCTGTGGGATACTGAGCTGAGGAATGCCATGAGCCAAAGGATGCCATGAGCATCCCAGGAGGGTCCCAGCTGGAGCTCAGTCCCTGTTTCAGTGCTGTATTTCAGCATTTGCCTCTGGACCCCACACCAGAATCTGGGCACAGACCTCTTTTTCCATCCATCCATGGGGTCTCTATGATGCCCAGCAGAAAGAAGGGAGAACATTCTCTGTGGAGAAGGATTCTCCAGGGGCTTTTGGCATTAACATGTGGGGTCTGGCAGTCACTGGTCCTGCGGGGAAGCCACATGCTGGGTGCTGTGGTGAGGCGCTGTACCCCACAGTGAGGTGCTCTGGGATGGGAGGGCAGCAGTGGGTCAGAGAGACCCCCAAACCCCATTTGGGGGGAACATGTCTCCAAGTCACTCATTTCCAAGGAACATCCATCCATGCTGAGTGTCTTTGGGCAGGGTCACCTCAAACTCATCTGATGCAGCAGTTGACACCCTGAATCCCATAGCATGCCCTTGGTAGTGCCAGGCCCTTTATCCCACACCACTTCCATCTCAGCCAGGGATTCGCTGAGCAGCAGGGCTGCTCTGTGTCCTGTTCCAAGTGGAGAAAACCAGGGGTTGGATTTTTTTTCCATCACAGTTATTATCTTTTACCCTTGGATGCCTGCCACGTGTCCGTGCCGTACAGTAGCACACCCAACTCCATCCCACTTGCCTGTTTGTCTAACTTTTTGACCCTGGAGAATTCAAATCTATTTTCCTTCCTCTTCTTTTCTTCAAAAAAAAACCCCAACAAACCCAAACCCCAAACCTATATTAACCTGGCTCAATAGGAGGCATTTTCTTGAACTTATTAAAAAATCCAGACTTGTAAATTAATTTGTTCATGTTGTACAATGGCAGTGCAGATGGACTCATTAGCATGCACACAACAAATAATTATAGATGAATTTTTAGCTGGCCTGCTTAATGGGCTTGCTGGGTTAATTATGTCAATGTATAATTACATCAGCCCTGGGAGACATAATGGCACACCCCGCTGAGCAGACACCAGCTAATGATGGTGTAATGCTGACAGAGGGAAGACGGACGGCTCCGGATGCACCTGCTTACCTCGGCACAAACCGCCATTGTCTGTGCCCAAACTGGCCGTGCCGGTGGCACCGGGGCACCGGAGATGCCCCCATGGCCCCTGCCCATCCTTCGGTGCCTCGGGGCTGGCAATGAATGGCAGGAGCCAAGGGTGTCCCCATGGCACCTGGAACGGCAGGACCCGGGGGTGTGCCCAAGGCAACTGGAAAGGCAGGACCCAGGGGTATCCCGATGGTATCTGGAATGGCAGGACCCAGGGGTATCCCCATGGCACCTGGAAAGGCAGGACTCAATGTATCCCCGTGGCACTTGGAAAGGCAGGACGCAGGGATGTCCTCACGGCACCTGGCACGCTGTGGGTTGTTTTAAGTGGGCTGTGGAGAGTGGCTGCCCAGGGCTGGGTGATAAGGAGGGTGGGCAGTGGGTGCCCGGGCTGGTGGTGGGCATCCCTGCTGCTCCACCCTGCATCCCACATCCCGCAGACCCTGCTCCTGTGCTGGAGGCTGCCCGGAGCCTGGAGGACCGGCTGCAGCAGCTCCAGCGCCTCGAGCCCAACCCGCCTCCCCTGAAGGATCTCAGCCGCCCCTGGAAAAAGCACGCGGAGCTCGGCAGCACCAAAGGTACTGCCATGGTCCCCAGCTGGGCTACCCCACGTGCCTCTGAGCACCCCTGGAACGCAGGGTGGGTCCCAGGGCCAGGATCTGGCCCCCGGCCCGTGGTCCCCAGCGGCCACTGCTGCTGTCCCCTCCGCAGCCATGTGACACGTGTCCCCCCGCAGAGCGCAGGGAGGGGACATCACCGGCAGCCGACGGCCTCGACGGCAGAGCGCCGAGCACAGAGACCTCGGTGCAGAGAAATGAGGCAGAGAAGCAAAAGTACGTGAGTACTGGGAATGGGGTCGTTTCAGGGCACGATGGGAACATGGGGCTCTGTCCCTGCTCCTGCACAGGGGTGTCCGTCCATCTCTCCTTCCCTTTGCTCCTTTTCCTTCAGGTTGGGAGTGGTCACGTCCTTCCCAGAAACCTGATACACCACCTTGGACACTCTCAGTGTCTGACCATCCATCCCCAGTCCCAGGTGGTTTTGGGGCAGAGCCGGGGCAGGTCCCTCCTGCCATCCCCGTGTGCTATCTCCGTGACACGTGGCTTTGCTCAGACAAATGGCTTAAACCTGGGTCTCTGGATGAACCTCATTAAATGACCTTTTAATTTGGAGGCTCCCAGCTTTCTTGGTGCCTTCATTGTTATTCCTTAACACGCTGCGTCGGGAAACAAATGAGGAATCTTTAAACCCTAAATTACAGATCTCTGCGAGTAAGTTCCTGGCAAGTGCAGGCTATAAATAATGCAGAATAACTTTCCCTGATTGCTTCCCCCTCCTCCAGTTAATTACAGGTGAGGGGTGGGCTGTCATTCCCCCCTCTGAGGGGTTTCAGCCACAGGGATCAGGGACAATTTTCAGCCCAAAGTGAATTTTTTTTAGACCTGGGGCAATAAACTTCTTAACATCAGAGGGTAACATGACTTGAATGTGTCTTGGTGTCCAGTGGTGGGTCTTTTCTGGCTTCAGTGAGGGATGGGGTCAGTGAGGGGATGCAGTGAGGGGTCTCTGTGTGATTTTGGGGGGTGTGGGATTGGCACAGCTGTGGTGCCCCTAGCACACCCCTCATGCCCATCTCTCACAGGGGGCTCCAGGAAGCACAGGTCACTTTGGCCTCTCGGCTGGGGGAGGCAGAGGAGAAGATCAAAGTGCTCCATGCAGGTAGGGGGGCCAGAATTGGGGCTAGTGACCACAGGGGACCAAGCCCCTGCCCCACAGCTCACCCTCCTCTTCCTCTTCCCAGCGCTGAAGGCCACGCAGACGGAGCTGCTGGAGCTGCGGTGTAAATACGACGAGGAAGCAGCATCCAAGTAAGTTGCCGGCAGTGCCGGATCATGTCCAAGGCTGATCCAAGATGCCCGTGGCAGCACTGGGACATTCCTGTGGTGCTGCTAAATGGCTTGATGAGCTGAGATACTTTAATCCACTGCAGGGACATCCATAGTTGTGGCGTCCTTATCCCTAAACTCCTGCCCAGGCCCTGGGCTGTGTCTGTGCCTCTGCATTCGCTGACACTTCTTGCTTTCTCCTCTCAGGGCAGACGAAGTCGCCATGATCATGACCAACCTTGAAAAAGCCAACCAGGTGAGCCAGGAGCTGACTTTCCAGGGGCTGATGGGGTTCCCCCCGCAGAGCCCAGGGTGCTGCACCCACCACAGCACCGTGAGCATCTGTGTGGGCTGGGTGTCTGTCCCCAAATTGACAAAGGATTGCCAAGCACCAGGACTGGGGATCCCTACAAAGGGGAGCTCAGGTTTCCTTCTCTTGCTGTGACCCCCTCCCCATGCTGGGGGTCACTGGTGTTTTTGAGCTCCTTACAGGCTCCATTTGTCACCTTCAGCCTCTCCCAGGTGTTTTAGGGCACAACACACACGGCTCTGATGTTGGATTCTGCTGTAATTACTCCTGGTCTTGTCCATTCCTCTTAATTAGTTTTATTTAATTCTGAAAATATAGGTACAAATAAATGCAGGTGGATAATAAAAGAGGCTTAAAGAGCAATTTGCATGTAAAATAAAAATGGCCTTTTGGGTGGAACAAGGCAGAGTCCTGGAGGTGGTCTGCAACCAGTGCCAAGGGATTGGAATTGGGACCAGCATTAGGATGCAGGAAGCTTAAATACGTGGAGGGGAGCTTATGGTACTGGTAGTGGGAGCAGAACGCTTGGGATGGGGACTCTTCTATGCCCCATGTGGGGTGGGATGTGCCACAGATGCCCAGTCTGATGCCCTTTCTGTTCTCCTGCAGCGAGCGGAGGTGGCGCAGAGGGAAGTGGAGAGTTTGCGGGAGCAGCTGGCGGCCGTCAACAGCTCCCTCCGCCTGGCCTGCTGCTCCCCGACGGGCACTGCTGGGGTGAGAGCACCCCTCGGGACCAGGACATCCCTCAGGGCCAGCAGCATCTCTCAGGGCCAGCAGCACCCCATCACAACCAGGAGCACCCCTCAGGGCTGGGAGCATCTGTCACAGCCAGGAGCATCCCATTGCTCTTGGGAGCGCCCCATCATAGCTAAGAGCACCGCACAGCAGCCAGGTGTACCCCACAGCAGCCAGGACCACCCCATTGCACTTGGCACTTTTTGTGTTCAGGAGCACCCAACTATGTTGGGGAGCAAGCCCAAAGTACCCAAGGCATGTTTCCACCCTGAGGTAGTGACGCTGACCATGCCCTCCAGCCTCCCACGGGGAGGGGGACATGCACTCCCATAGCACTCAGATGCACTTGAGAGACCTTTAAGGGCAGAGGAAAGGTCTGTCCCTCCCCAAGGCTCCATCACCTGGGTCCCCATCCTGTAGGACTGAGCTCTGGGACCGCCTGCCACCCATGGGGACCTGTCTGACAGGGAAGGGTGGCCCTTGTCCTCGTGTTGGGTGTCTGGGAGCTGACAGTGTCCCTTCTCCCAGCAGGACAAAGTGAACTATTCCATGTGCTCAGGGTCGAGGCTGGAGGCAGCTCTGGCTGCCAAGGACCGGGAGATCCTGCGGCTCCTGAAGGACATCCAGCACCTCCAGAGCTCACTGCAGGAGCTGGAGGAGTCCTCTGCCAACCAGATCGCCGAGCTGGAGGGGCAGTTGGCTGCCAAGAACGAAGCCATCGAGGTGCGCCCACAGGGGCTTGGGGCTTGCCGGGGATGGGGGACGTGGGTCCGGCTGTGCTGGGTGTGCACCGGGAGCTGGCTGTGAGGACTCCCCTCCTCTTCTCCTCTGCAGAAGCTGGAGGAGAAGCTGCAGGCACAAGCAGACTACGAGGAGATCAAAACAGAGCTGAGGTATGGCTTAGGTGGCATCCATGGCTGCCTGCCTGTATCCCAGCTGGCGCAGTGCCGCCGGCACCCACGGCAACGCTCCAGCAGCCGTAACACTCGGCAGCTTGCCGGCAGCAAAGCACCGCGGCCACCGAGTCACCCCCTTGTCTCCCTCCCAGCATCCTGAAGGCGATGAAGGTGGCCTCTGCTGGCTGCAGCCTTCCCCAGGCAAGTGCCGTGGCGCGTGCCGACGCGCTGGCCGGGCTGTGCCAGCCCTGCCGCCGGTGCCTCCGCCGCCCATTCCCATCTCGGCTTGGCTCCTTGCAGAGCATATCGAAGGCGGAGGAGGCCCTGCTGTTGGGGAAGGAGGCTTTCTACCCCTCCCAGAAGTACCTGCTGGAGAAGCCCAGCCTGCTGGCCAACACTGGTAGGGCCCCCAGGTTCCATGGCATCCCCAGTCCCAGGGGAATATCTCTGGGAATGTGGGCAGTGGGGACAGATCCGGTGCTGACTGCAGGAAGGAGCCTGGAGCCAGTGGTGGGGTGGGGGGAAAACAGGGGGTGGGATGTCACCTGGGGAAACTGAGGGGCTGTGCTGAGGCTGTTGCCAGGGGGACTCTAGCGCGTCTCCCTCTCTCATTCCTCTCTAGAGGAGGATCACTCTGAAGACGAGTCGGGGAAGGATTCGCTGGGCATGGAGCAGCCGTACCCATCCCCCCATCACGCCCCGAGCGATGAACCCGCATCCCCCACTCCCCTCCCGCCGCTGCCTGGCCCCGGCGGGGCCCCTGATGGTCCTCGGACTTTTTCGCTGTCCCCCTTCCCGGGGGGCGAGCGGCTTTCAGGGGACCCCAAGGCCCCCCACCTCCCACTGCCCACCTACAAGAGCGAGAGCACTGCCGGGGGACCCTTCCCCTCCTCCTTCTTTGGGACCAAAAGCAGCACCGTGCACCCTGCGCCTGCCACCAACGCCACCAGCCCGCCCGGCGAGAACTCCGAGGGCAGCGCCGGCAGCTCCGCCGAGGAGGAGCAGCTGGACACGGCCGAAATCGCCTTCCAGGTGAAGGAGCAGCTGCTGAAGCACAACATTGGGCAGCGGGTCTTCGGGCACTACGTGCTGGGGCTGTCGCAGGGCTCCGTCAGCGAGATCCTGGCACGGCCCAAGCCCTGGCACAAGCTGACGGTGAAGGGCAAGGAGCCGTTCATCAAGATGAAGCAGTTCCTCTCCGACGAGCAGAACGTGCTGGCCCTGAGGACTATCCAGGTGCGCCAGAGAGGTGAGTGGTTGGGGTGGCCCCGGCCAACAGGTCCTGCCCTGGGATGCTCCAAGCAGTGCCATGGGATCCCCTCCCAGTGCACCCCACTTCACCCCAGCAGCACCTTGGGGTGCCCCATGCCATGGCAGGGGTGCTCAGCAGCCCATGATGTGCTGGCAAGATAGGCAGGGACATTGCTCCCACCAGGGGCACTCTGGGATTGTCCCTGGTGGGATGGAGCCGGCTGCCGGCTGGGATGAGCCCTGGCAAACAGCAGCAATTAACAACAACCCATTGCTGTGGAAGCTGCGTCCCTGGACGTGCTTTACTCATTTATTCTGACAAGTGCCATTTAATTATTCATTAGGCTGTTCTGTGCTGTATGAATCAATGTGCTTGGAAATATTTTGTTAAAATAATGAAGTTTTGGTGCTGCGGGGCCTCAGTGGGTGTTGGCATCGCCACAGAATGGTGGCTCCTGGCTCCAGGGACAACAACTGCTGGTGCCCTCTCAGAGGTGGCAGCTGGTCACTCAAGTCCCTGTGGTGGCACCAGGACTGGACAGTGCATGTCCGTGGTCCATGAATCTGCTGGTTTCATCCTGGAAGGCTCCAATTTATCCCCTGGATCCTGTCCACCATTAACCCTTCACCTGCACAGCCAGGAGGGCACAGTGCCAGGGATGGGGATGTGGTCCCCATGCCCATGTCTCTGCTCAGCACCCCACGTGCCAGTGTGGAGCGGGTGCCCTTGGATGGGATGAGCAAGGTGGTGGAAGGTGCCATGCCAGAGGCAGGAGCTGGCAGCCACAGCTCCCGGGGCTCCGGTAGCGACTAATCGGGAGTGACATTTGTCTTCAAACCAGCATCCCTAAAAATAACTGAACATGAGGAGCAGTAAATACTTCCTGACATACAAGTGGAGCTTGTAAAACCAGCGCCGGTGACAAAGCTGTTATCCTGCCTCTTTGATCAGGTAGCATCACGCCGCGGATCAGGACACCAGAGACCGGCTCCGACGACGCCATCAAAAGCATCCTGGAGCAGGCAAAGAAGGAGATCGAGTCGCAAAAGGGAGGTAAGTGCTGGCATAGGGTGGCCCCGAGGGGTGGCTGAGCCCCTGGGTGATGTGTGGCTGTGGGTCCCACCCCAAAAATGGCCTTTTCTGGGGGCATTCACACACTGATATCCACAGAGAATTTTTTGGGCATGGTGGAAAGAAATAAATGCTGTCAAGGATGGAAAAATCGCCATGCAGCACTGTTCATATCTGGGCTTTCGGAAACTTTGGATGCACTTTTTCTCCCCCCTGCCCCAAAACAGATGATTAAATGAGGATGCACAATCCATCTGGCACAAGGAATCATTAAAGCAGCTGTGCTCACAGTAAATTACAAGAAATGAAATACATTAAAACAGGTAGTCTGCTGAGAAAGCAGAATCCTGGAGAATTGAATTAGACGGGAACAGTGGAAAAACAGACAGGGAAAACAAACATGTTTGTCTATCGTGTCGTTGGTAATGGGATTTATTTTGCAATCATCAAAAAAGAAGCTGTCTTTGAGTCGGAGTGTTGAAGCTTAGTGGGCGCTGCTGGTCCTACTCTGCGCCCACATCCAAACCAGACTGGGATAAATCCCTTTTCCTCCTGCGTTTTGAATTACGGCCACATAGTATGAACAGTGTGTCCTCGGGGCTCCCCTCACCCCTTTTCTCCACAGGGGAACCCAAGGCACCATCAGCATCGCAGGCAGTGGCCAACGGGGCGGGCGGCAGCAGCTCGGAGGACGCCATCAAGAGCATCCTGGAGCAGGCGCGGCGGGAGATGCAGGCACAGCAGCAGGCGCTGCTGGACATGGAGTCGGGGGGCAGCGGGCGCCCCGCGGACCCGGCACCCGCCGAGCGCTCCACGCTGGCCACCGTCAGCCAGAACGTCACCCCCGCCTACGTGAAGCAGGAGGAGGGGAGCGGGGCCAGCCCCGGCCCCCCGCAGACGCCCCTGGCCGTCCTCTCTCCCGCCGCCTTTGTCCAGAGCATCATCCGGAAGGTGAAGTCGGAGATTGGTGACGCCGGCTCCTACTTCGACCAGCACTGGGCGTCGGAGCGGAGCCTGCTCAGCCGGCCCTACACCTCTGTCTCACCTTCGCTCTCCTCCTCCTCCTCGAGCTACTCCAGCATGGCCAATGGCCGGGGCTGGCCGCGGGGTGAGCCCGGCGAGGGTGGCACCAACGAGGATGAGCTGCCGCCGGCGGATGAGGAGCCCCACCGGCTGTCGGAGATGAAGGCAGAGGGAGCCGGTGCGGAGCCAGCGGCCGGTGGGCGTCTCTCCTACTATCCCACGTACGTGCCACGGACCCTGAAGCCCACCGTGCCACCGCTGACGCCGGAGCAGTATGAGATGTACATGTACAGGGAGGTGGACACGCTGGAGCTGACCCGGCAGGTCAAGGAGAAATTGGCCAAGAATGGCATCTGCCAGAGGATCTTCGGGGAGAAGGTACCAGCCTGGAGGGGGGGGGGGTCCAGTGTCCCCTCCACAAGCCAGAGCCCAGGGCTAGTTGGTGGCCTTCACCAGCTCCTTCCAGGATCCCCCTTCTCCCCAGTGGCTTTCCCCTGGGAGGATGCTGAGTCCTCAGGATCTGACCCAACCCCATACGGTCTCCCAGTGGTCACCACTAACTGGTTGGTGGCACTTCCCACCAGGAATGCCCAGTCCCTGTGCAGAGACCTGCTTGGACCACCCTCCCATCCCACTGGGTATCCCACTATCAACATCCGTGGCTAGGGGCAAGGGGTCCAGATGTGCCATGGGGCAACAGGTGGCAGAGGGTGACAGCCTAATTCCCCTCCCTTTACATGGGGAGGGAGGACAGGCAGCATCCCAGTGCTGGGGGGAGTCATCCCACCTTCGGCGAGTGACATGTGCCTGGTGCCCTAGGTGCTGGGACTGTCCCAGGGCAGCGTGAGTGACATGCTGTCGCGGCCCAAGCCATGGAGCAAGCTGACACAGAAGGGTCGGGAGCCCTTCATCCGCATGCAGCTCTGGCTGACCGACCAGCTGGGCCAGGGCATCAGCCAGCAGCCCACACCATCCCAGGGTAAGTGACACTGCTGTCCCCCTATCTCAGTGGTTCCCATGTGCCATCAGTGTCCCTAACCCTTCTGTGTCCATCCTCTGCATCCAGGATATTTGTCCTGCTCCCACCTCAGCTTCTAGAAGAGCTGTCCCTGCCACCTCCAGCACCCACACCCTCATCCTGGGAAGTCCCTTTCATCCCCAACCTCCTTAATTTAAAACAAAAAAGAGGAAAGCCACATAAAAAGTCTTTGGCTTCATGCCTGGCATAAAACAGTAATGAATTTTTTTATGTTAGTGTCATTTTCTGTCTTTAATTAGCCCACTGGCATCTCCTGCTTTCCCATAGCCACTGGAGGGCAGAGCCACAGGCGTCCCTCAAAATAACCTTCTTGTGCTGTCCCTCCCGCCGTCCCCTGACCCCTGTCCCCGGTGTCACACAGCCAGCCCAGCGGAGCCCCAGCCATCGCCCTCGCCGCCCCCCAGCCCCGCCGAGCACGACAAGGGCTGCCAGGAGCCCCTCACCCTGGCCCTGGAGAGCAGCAAGGAAAACCAGCAGCCCGAGAGCCGGTCGACGCCCACGCTGGGTGGGAAGACGTATCCCAACAGCCAGGGACCCGTGGGCATCCAGGAGATCGTCGCCATGTCCCCGGAGCTGGACACCTACTCCATCACCAAGAAGGTCAAGGAGGTCTTGACGGACAACAATTTAGGTGCGGACCCTCTCTCCGCCCGGGTTTTCGGGAGCTGCTGGTGAGGCTGCATGGATCCAGCACTCCAATTCCCATAGATGCAAGCCCCCATGGTTCGCTCAAGGCGATTCCAGGAGGATGCTGGCTGGGAAATGGGGTGTGCCCACTCCACAGGGGGACTATAGAGCTCATCCCACTGCTCTACCCCCTCTAACCACCTCTGCTTCTCCTCCGCCAGGCCAGCGGCTGTTTGGGGAGAGCATCCTGGGCCTGACGCAGGGCTCGGTGTCCGATCTCCTCTCCAGGCCCAAGCCGTGGCACAAGCTGAGCCTGAAGGGGAGGGAGCCCTTCGTCCGGATGCAGCTCTGGCTCAATGACCCCCACAATGTGGAGAAGCTGCGTGACATGAAGAAGCTGGAGAAGAAAGGTGAGGGTTGGGGTGACACGGCCTCACTGGGGTCAGGGTGCTGTCTGGGCGGGGGGTCCCGGGCCGGGGGGCGAGCGGTGCGCAGCTGGGTGTCCTCTCCTGCAGCCTACCTGAAGCGCCGGTACGGGCTGATGAGCGCCGGCTCGGACAGCGAGTCCCCCAGCGCCCGCTCCGAGTGCGCCAGCCCCAGCGTGCCGCCACAGGACATCAGCCTCCTCCAGATCAAGAAGCCACGGGTGGTGCTGGCCCCAGAGGAGAAGGAAGCCCTGAAGAAAGCCTACCAGCTGGAGCCCTACCCCTCCCAGCAGACCATCGAGCTGCTCTCCTTCCAGCTCAACCTCAAGACCAACACTGTCATCAACTGGTTCCACAACTACAGGTACGGGCACTCCTGGGCTTCAGTCATCTGATGGTGCTGTGCCACCAAGGTGGTGTCACTGCTCTTCTTCCAGCCTTCCCAGCCCCTCTTCCCTAAATGGGAGGTGCAGACCCACACATGGTCACTGGAGGTCCCCAGGTGTGGGATTGTAGCCAAAATGCTGCCTGTGCCCTGGCTGGTGGGTGTTCAAGAGTGTTGACCACCTTGAGTCATGTTGAGCATCTTAAAGCAGTTTCCGTGCTCAAATCCCCCTGCTCACTGGAGCAGGAGTTCCACAATGGGTGGGGGAAAGCCTTCTGGAGGCTCCTGGAGCACAGGATTCATCCCTACAGCAGCCCAGCAGCACAGGCTTCATCCTTAGGCAGTATTGTAGGTGTACACATCCCATTTTTCTGGCTGGAGATGCTCTTTCAAGACATGCAGTGTCTGTGACACGGGGTGAGGGGTGGAGGTCGCTGACCCTCCGCTGTTGTGTCCCGGCAGGTCACGGATGCGCCGGGAGATGCTGGTGGAGGGCGCTCAGGACAACGACACGGACCCAGAGCAGAGTGGTGGGACGGCCATCCCCGGGCGCCAGGCCCCCCACAGCCCCGACTCGGACGCCGAGGATCGTAAACCCGTGTTCGCGGGGTGCGAGCACCCCTGTGCTGCTGTGCCTGTGAAGGTGAAGGAGGAGCAGGGGGACACGGGCGGCTGGAGCCGCCAGCGGGACTCACACAGCCCGGCCGGGGCGGACGAGGGGACCGGACCTCCCCAGGAGGAGCGGGGGGCAGCCCCCTACGTTGCCGCCCCCAGCACCGGCAGCCTCCCGCGGCGGGGAGGCCGTGCCGGTGCCACCGCCGGGGGACCCCCAGCGCCACCACCGCCACACCCCGACAGCTCCCAGTCCTCCGCAGGGTCATCCCGTTGCAGCTTGGAGGTCTCCCCAACATCACCCTCGGCGGCTTCCTCACCTGGCCTCACTGGCTCAGCCTCACCGGGACCATCCTCCGCCGGGCCGGTCTCACCGGCGCTCCCGCCAGCTCCCGGCCCCCGGCTCAGCACCAGCGTCCAGCGGCGCCACGAGAAGATGGCCAACCTCAACAACATCATCCACCGCCTGGAGCGGGCTGCCAACCGCGAGGAGGCCCTCGAGTGGGAGTTCTGAGCCCCCCTCGCCGCCCTAAATATATATATACACAGCCACATATATATATATATATTTTGATAAATTGCAGTGTGCACCGAGAGGCGACGCTGGCGCCACGGAGGGGAGCGCCCGTGGAGAAAGGGGGGACCCTCCCCCCCCACCCCGCTATGAAGCCACCCCCTGGCTTTGTTTTAAATGTGAAAAAACTGGGAACAATTTTAGAAAAGAAAAACAAAACAAAAAATATTTATAGACCTCTTTTAGATATTTTAATAAAAGGATACTTTGGAATTTATTAACAGCTTAAGCTGCTTTGATATTAAAGATAGCTATAAAATCAAGATGATGTAGCAGTCGTGTCATTAAATGTACACTGAAGTCTTGTAGTTTGCCACTGGATGAGATTAAAAACAAATAAAAAAACCCCAAACGAAAACCAACCCACAGAAAAGACTTTTTGAGCAAAGCCATCAAGAAGCACTATGAGACTGACCAAATTTAAGAAACTTTTGCAGTTTCCACCCCTGTCTGTAAGACACTGCATCGCTTCTGCCCCAGCCAGAGACTGCGTCCTAGTCCCTGAAGACTCTAAAGCGACCCCCCGACGCCATCGAGTATGTATTTAGTTCTGGTGGTTTATGTTTTTGGAAGCCTTTGTAACACAGAATGTCCCGTGCGGTTGTATATGTTGTAGAGATGTCTGCAATAGCCTCCTGGAACAAGATGTAGCATGGTCCCAACGCCGTCCCTCGCGCTTCCTCCAGCCGGCGACCGGTGGCAGCTCCCCTGCGGCGCAATGCGGCTGACGCCAGCTCCCAAGGGAAGAGAGAAAATATGGCAACAGCAAAGAAAGCAAACTGTGCTTGGGATTTTGGGAGCGAGGTGGGAAGAGGTACCTGGATGTGATGCTCGGGGATGGCACCAGCTTGCTGGGGATGGACATCCATCCCATCCCTGTTCCCTGTGCTCTGCCATAGTCCATTTGGGAAAGGAAAAGAGATGGAGCCTCCCTGGGGCAGCAGTGCTTGGGGTGAGCACCCAAAATTCATGAGCCCTGCTCTGCTCAGGGCTGCTCCAGCATCACAGCCAGCTCTTGTGGCTGAAGCACTTTTTTTAGGGAGAGCACCCGGGTAGGAGGAGCATCCCCTTCCCACAGCTGTGTCCCAGGCAGTGGCTGTTGGTGGAGCCAGGATGAGCCCTGGGATGTCTCACCTGCCTGAATTGGGCAAGCTCAGCCCTGAACTGGGCAAAGCACTATCGAGCTTTGGCTTTCCAGGGTTGATCCTGTGCAGGATCAGCTCAGTGGTGGCACCATCCTGGCATGCTCCCTGTCCCCCACCCTGACCCCACCACCTCCAGCCAGCCTGTGCTGACAAAATGCCTTTAAACGATTCAGGGTGGCCCATGCTGGGCTGCCCTGCCCTGTCCCTGCCATCGCCCACCAAGGCCTGCGCCACCAGGAGGGCTCCCTGCCAGGCTCCCAGGCTATGCATTGACTGATTTTCCACTGTAAACATTTTTATCAGAATAGAAGGTATTTTTATATTCAGGTGGTGGTGGATGAGCAATGCTGAAGGTGCCTCAGCGAGGGCACAGCTCTCCTTGCCCACCTGCCCTGCCCCAGCGTGCCCACGGCCGCTCTTTTCCCTGCCACCACACTGAGGAAGGTCGAGGTGCAACCATTGACTGCCTTCTCCGTCATGTGCTAGCGGGAGCTTTAGTGGAATGGGACTTGAGGAAGCACTTAGGATAGTCCTGAACATGGCAATCCTGTCGTATGAAAGCCAGCGGGACATACCGGTCACGTTTTTGTTAGGCTCATGTTCTGTACTTCAAAAGTTTCTATGAGATCGATGAACTTTGTTTAAACAATTTTGGAAGGAACAAGTTCTGTAAAGAGCCACTAAATACAGAAGTTGGATACGACTCTGGCCTTGGGTTGTGTTTTGTCCGGAGTTGGTGGGATGTGATCTCTGCTCAGTTTCACCCAGTGCCTGGTGTTGCCACCCTTGGAAGTCACAGCTTTGCTTTGGGGTTGTGGCCATAAACATATCCCAGTGACTGGGGGGTAAAAAATAGGGTGACAGATGGGGCTAGTCCACCTCAGGGTGTGATCCTCTCCCATGAAATTCCTGTGCCCATCCCTGCTGAAGGTTTGTTCCTGCTCCATGGGGTAGCTCAGTATCGTCCAGCGTGAGTTTCGGCTTGGTTTATCATAAAATCGTATCATGGAATGCTTTGGGTTGGAAGGGACCTTAATGCCCATCTCATTCCAACCCCCTGCCATGGACAGGGACACTTTCCACTAGACCAGGTTGCCCAAAGCCCCATCCAACCTGGCATTGCCAGTGGCACCACACCCCAGCATGGCTCTTCTTTGGAGCCGACCATCACCAGGCAAGTTGGCAGCTCCAACACGAGGCAGGGCTGTTTGTCTGATGAATTAAGAAATCCATATGTTGCCTATCTGTTTAAGCTTGTTTGTCGGATAACATGTTGGGAAGGACTTATTTTTAATGAATATCTGAACGTGTGGAGAAGCTGGGCCAGCTGCCATAGAAACTGGAATCTTCCTCTGCTGGGAAGGACAGGGCCACATCAACCATCTGGGGGCTGCGGGTGCAGCTGCACCCCGGCTGCCCTTGGCACTGGCTCCAAATGCCAAAACATGTAGCTGGGTGCCGTGCCCAGCCAGGAGCAGGGCTCCATGCTCAGCAGAGCTCTTGGCAAGCAGAAACCCTGGCTGGTTTCAAGCCTGTTTCCCCAAGAGGTGATCCCCCGACCTCCGCAAGACCCTGTGTTAGCAAGAAGCTGGAGGCATTCACGCAGTGGGGTGTCGTGGGCAGAGACGTGGGGACATGTTGGGCCCTTTTATAAGGGCAGAGTCCTCGGTCGCTGTGTAGCACCAACACCAGCCCTGGCAAGGGGACAGATATTTTGTCCCTGGTTAAGACCCATCCCTGCCATGGGACCACCCCGGCACTGGGTGTCCTGATGTTCCCAGGGTGGCACCATCCCGTCCCATGTCTGCAGGAAGATGTGAGGCTCTAGGGCACTGCAAGACCCTGGCACTGGCCATCTCCCCCTCCGGTGATACAGTCCCTGACCAGCCCCGCTGACGTGGTGGCGACAAGATGGAGACTAAAACAGAGGATTAATTCCCACCTGGACCCTCCTCCCCAGGGGCTTAAAGGCACAAACAAGAACCAGGGCCAGGAGGGAATTTCTGAAACAACTTTTATTGTCACAAAATCTTGTGTCTGTCCCAAGGGGGCAAAGGGAGCCAGAGCCAGCCAGCCCAAAGCTGGGACATCCTGACTGCTCCCCCGTTACCCAGGGCAGGTCACCCCATCTCCAGGCCAGCAGCCTGAGTGTCTCTTGGGGAAATAAGAGAGAAACACTGGCATGAGACACCAGCTTTGGCACATGAATCATCCCTCACGCTCCGCTGCTGACACACACATTCCCATTTGCCACTGTGAGCGATGCTTCCCCTTAGTGAACTGGCACAGGGATGTTGTGCTGTCCCAAAATATCCACAAGCAAGGCAGTGTCCGCAGCTGCTGCGTTCCCCTGGGGTCTGACCCCCCCGAATTCAGTGGAGGGGTTGCAAGCAGCAGTGGCCCTGTAATGCCCGGGGCCGGGTGTCACCAGCCCCCCTGGCAGCCGGAGCGTGCGGTGCTTCTGCTGCTGCTAAGGAAGGGCTGCACTCACTGATATTTTCATTTCAAACCACATCCTGCTGGAGCAGAGGGATCTGGCGGAGCTCAGCCGACCTCAGGCTTGTGCTGGGCAGGGAGGGGAAGTTGGTAACAGGCTCTCCAGCTGTGAAACACCCACACAGGCACTCAGGCAGGCAAGATCCCATCAAAATTCTCCTCTCAAAGTATTGTCTATGCATGATTGCACTGCAAGAGCATCAAGAGGCCCCACCAGATCCAGAGCAGTGGTCAATTCCCAGGAGGCATCAGTGAGTGGTTCATAGGTTGCTTGTGCTGAGTGGGCCACCCCACAGCCACATCTGGGTGTGACTGGAGGGTGCATCCCTGCCTGGCACGAGATGCCCATTTCACCATCATGGAGCAGCACTTGGCGCTGGGCGCTCACTGGCACCATCAAGGTGTCCATCACCACCACAGACAGGGCTGCACATCCCAGGGTGAGGAGGGGCAGCACCAAGGATGACCACCTCCACCCTGCCACAGGTCCTGGTGGGTTCCCAGGGCTTGGCCGCCACTCAGGGCCGGGGCCCACGCTGCTTCTCCAGCCAGTCCTGCCGCAGCCGGGCCACCTCCCGGCTGTACCGCTCGTGGAGCTGGCAGAAGGTGGATGGGCTTTCCACCGTGGCCTCACCGTTCAACACCCGCCTGCGTGGTGGCAGCGGCGGGGGCAGCGGGGTCCCCTCGTCATCATTCCCACCGCAGCCAGAGGTGTCCAGTGGCTGGCCCACTCCCAAGGCATTGTTCCACATGGCGCAGCCATTCTCCTTCGGCAGGATGGCGGGCAGAGCTGGCAGCCGCTCCGGGGACTGCTTTGGCTTCCAGGAGCTGGGAGACTCCCGGGAACTCCCACATCCACCAGCCAGCCCCCAGCGTATCTCCTCCAGCTGCTTCTCCAGCTCCCGCACCACCAGCCGCATGTAGTCGAAGCTGGCTCGGGACAGCGACTTCACCCACGACTCCATGGCCGCCTGGCTCTCGGCCGCCAGCACATAGGTGCGGGATTTGGTGCCGCTAAAGCGGATGGCGAAGGCGAAATCCTCGGCTGACTCACAGAGCTCCACGTTGCAGCCCTCCAGCACGATGACGCCCACCGGCTCCCGGCTCTCCCGCTCCTCAAAGTAGAAGAGCATGTTGCCCTTGAGCACGAACCAGCGGCGGTGATATGCCGTGTGCCGCTCGCCGCGCTTGTAGAGGAAGCCGGAGTTGTCGGCAGGGGAGTCGCAGGTGGCATAGAAGGCCAGGCTCCGCTCGTTCAGCTTCATGGCTCCGCGCCCTGCGGGGACAGAGGGTGCTCAGCGCCCGCCGCACCCGGGCGGCTGCGCCTTAATTGCATGAGAATAAACCATCGGCTTTTTGTTCCCGGTGGCGCCAGACCCGACGCGCAGGAAATGGAGGTGGTGAATAAACAACCCTGGGATACTTGGGATAACACCGCCCTCAGCCAAGGTGCTGTGTCCAGCGAGTGCTGGGTGGGTTGTGGCTCCTTGGGGCTCGCTGGGGAGGTTTCTCTCCCCAATAGAGTGTTTTCCCGCGAAGGAGCCCCAGGCAGGGCTTGTCCCGGTGCCCCACGTCACCTGGCACAGGTGATCTTCCCGCCGGCGCCGTGTTTGCCGTGTGGTTCCGCTCCTCCCCACGGCGCCCAGGGAGGGTTTTGGATGGCGCCGCGGATCCGGCTGCGGCTCCAGAGAGCCGTGACCATGAACCCTGTCACCCAGGCGAGGCCACGGCTCCCCTTGTCCCCTGATCGCCGTGCTAGGCTTTCCACCCACCTGGACTCAGCCTCTACCTCGGCTCTCCGGCGGTCACCAGCACCAGCGACGCGCGGGCGGCCGTGGAGGCCGTGGGAGCGCTGGATCCGAGGTCGGACGGTGTAAAGGGGCTTTGCGGGCCCCTCTCCCTCTCCCGCCCGGTCACCTTTGTCCTCGGCTCACGCCGGCCCGGCCCCCGGGCGGAGCGCTGCTCCCGCCCGCCTCCGCCACCGCCCATCGCCACGGCCCCGCGCGGCCCGCGGGCGGGAGGAGGAGCTGGAAAACCGCTCCGGAGCTCACCCCCGGGGCTCAGAGCTCCTGGCTCGACCCAAAGCCCTCGGCCGGTAACAGTTCCTCACACCGGGACTTAGCACCGGGGAGAGAGAGAGGAATGCGGGAAGAGGTGGGGGCACGTATCGAGGTGTGCGGGAGAGATGCACATCCAGGGATGTATAGATGGATGTACGCGTGGATGTATGAGTGGATATATACATGGACATACGCAGGGTGTACATGTGGGTGTACTCATGGGTGGGAAGCCCAGGTGTTTAGTGCTGAAAGTGGCTGCACATTGAATTTTTGATCAGATTCTGGGAACAAAGAATTGGGATCCTGGGAGCGTCTGGCAGGGAATGGGCAGAGGTCAGTGGATGAGGTGGACAGCACAAACCCACAAAGAGGGCTGGAGGTGAAGGCAGCAGGGCAGGGTCCTGGGTGGGAGAATCTGCAGGGGACCAGGCTGCAATTCCTGTCAACTCTCCTGAGCTTCCAGGCGTGTCTTTGGGAGAAGCTGGGCCAAAGCTGAGTGAGGGTGCTTTAGTGTAGAGGAACAGAAGGAGCTGAGTGGCCTGGATGGCATCGGGGGGGGGGGCAGGTGACAGCTGACACAAGGAGCAGGGAGTGATGAGCCATTAGCTGGGCACTGGAGCTGCCGGGTGTTGTGCCACGGTGTGGGTAGAGCCCACGGCCCCCTCGCTCCTTCCTGCCCACGGGCACCACATGGCACTGGAGCCGCTGATGGACCCTCGGACGGGTGGCCAGTGCTTGCCCCATCTGGGCCAAGGGTGAGTGGGTCCGGCTGTGCCGAGCGCTGGGGCCAGGGCTGGATCTCCCATTGCTGGTACCCACGTCCCAGGACGACCATAAACCTTCTGGCTGGGAGAAACCTCCAGTCTGACTTCTGCTCTTGGTTGGCCTTCCAGGCTGAAAGTGTCACCAGCCCAAGAACCACCTTGGCAGTGCTGCTGTCCTCACCATGTCCCAGTAAACACCAGAGTCAAGGATTTGCTCTCCTTATCACTGTCCCTTTCCTCCAGTTTCTTCATCCCCCTGCTCTGCTCTATGGCCATGTGTATATTTTAGCAATCCCGCTGTTGGCGACCATTTTACAGGTCCCCATCCCAGAAATCCTGCTGTCGGTGACCTCTGCCACGGGTTGTGGTCCTCACCACTCTCCCCTTAGATGCCCCCACCTCCCTACACAGCTGCTCAAGGCTTTGCAATCTTCTGCTTGTGTCAGAGGTTTTCAGTTCACCGAGGGCTTTCCCTATCACCTGCAGACTTTCATTTTCAGGCTATAAAAAGGGATTTAAACCAGCACTAAAACCATCAGGGCTTTATCTTCCCTCCTGAGCTGAGCAGCTCTGTTCAAGGTCGCTGGTGGGAAGTCTCAGGTCTCTGCACCACTTATCTCCCTGCCTTGCTGAGAGATGCCTTTTCATGTAGCAAGATTAGAAGGGGAAGGACCGTGGGGAGAAGCAATATCTCTATTAGAGCAGCTGGGGTAATTGGAAAAAGGCAACTGTGCTCCCAGCTCTACTTTTCTTTCCTGGGACTCCAAAATCACATTTACTTCTTGCAGCCCCACCAGCCACTTCAGCAGAGGTTGTTCCAATGGTTGTTCCTCCTCCACAGCTGCTTCCCAAGGAGCTCCGTGGAAGCTGCTTTGGACAATCGCCCTAATTCCTCAAAAAGCATCAACAAAATTCCCCTGTGGGTTCTTGCTTCCCGTTGAGTCTCCCTTGGGACAGTCGCGTGTTGCTGCACAAGCTCCAGCACTTCCCCTTCTGAGCAGCTCTGTATTTTCCCTGTTGTCCCAGGAAGGAGCCCAGAGCCTGCACCTCAGTGTCCCCTTCCAAGGCTTGATGAGAAAGATGGGAAAATAAATTCCCATGCAGAGCTTGCCCGACAGCGGGGAAAAGGGAGAAGAAAGGGGTCTGAAAGGAGGCCGGGGGTGCCAAGAGCATTTTTGGCCATGGGGTGCCCTTGGCCTCCGCTTCCTGCTGCTCCCATGACCGGTGACTTGGTGTGGTTACACAGCGGCGGGTGCTGGACGGCTCAGCGAGGTGAGCGGGAGCTCTGAGTCACCCCAGAGCTTGAAATCTTGGGGTGCCAGGGAGTCCCAAGGGGCTGCTGGATGCCCGGTGCTGTGTGTCCCCCTGGCACACGGGGGAGGAGGGGTGCGGGTCTCCATCGTGACCGGCAGCGAATGGTCCCCGGGGCCCCCAGATGGGCCCCGAGCCGTGCTCTGGGGTTCAAGGCGAACAAGTCGCGACTGTCACAGAAACCGGGCGTGGGGCTGGCGCGACACTCCCCGGCGCGTTTCGGGGTGCGGGCACCCCTCCCTACCCGCTCCCACGCGGGATCCTACGTCCCACGTCCCACGCAGTCTCCAGCCTGGCAGGCCGGGATCGGGGTTCGCTGCCCCCGGGGCAGGAGGAGGCGGGCGGGGAAGGGCCGGAGGTGGCGGCTGCAGCGCGGAGAAGGGCCGGGAGAGGGCGGCGGGAGCCCGGCCACGGCGGCGGGAGCGCTGCGGGGCTCGGCGGGGATGAGGGGGCAACCAGCCTCGGGGCATCCCCATCGCCCCCTCCATCACCCCCCCACCATCCAGCCCATCACCTCCCCCATTGGGACCCCCATCCTCATCCCCATCATCACTCAGCCCGTAATCACCCCAGCACCCCTCAATCACCCTCTCCTCTCCATTACCACCTCCAACCCCACCCAGCCCATTATCATCCCATCACCCCTCGGTCACCCTCTCCATTACCACCTCCAACCCCACCCAGCCCTCTGAACGGGCACATAAAAGCCAGGCTATTTTGAGGGGCATTGCCAGCTCAGCGCAGATACCCATAGCCAAGCATTTCCAGAAATCACCCCAGAGCGCCTCTCGGCATGTTGGGGGAACACTCATCTCATTGTGGGATGGCAGAGGTCACCTGAAACCCATCACATCCCAGCTGGAGAAATGCAGATGTGGCACTTCCAAACCACCCCAAGCATCCTGAAAACGGAATAGGCCAGCGCACAGCAATTAAAGAGGGAAGTGGGAAGGACTGTCGGAAGCCGAATAAGGGTTTTACAGGAGAAGAAAGCAGCAATGGTTAAAAGCCGAGGGCAGTGCAGAGCGGAAGGGAAGCAGCAGTGTGTGTGTGTGCAAGGGCATCTGTGCAGCTCCACATATACAAACAGAAAAAGCAGAAGTCGGGGCACTGAATTAGCAGTTGGGGACTGTAGAAAATCCATACAGGAAGCAAAACAACAGAGAAATCTCGGGCCACTGGGGCTGAGGACGCTGAGAGGGCGCTTCTGACATAGATTAAGTTGATAAAGAAATGTGCGATCGCTGGGAGCTGGGACAGCAGCCCATGGGAAGGAGGGCAGGCATCCGGACCCGCCCGCCGCTCCTCCGTCCTCAGGAAAAGAGCCAGAAGGTGCAATTATGCGTAAAGCAGCGGCAGGAGGAATTAAAAAGCAGCTTTTAAGGTAAGATCTTATCATGTCAGCTGCTCCCAGCCACTTCGCTGTGGGGTTTGGGAAGGGCTGATTGGATGCAGAGTCGCCTGGATCCCTGGAGCAGGCGATGCCCAAGGGTTTTGTGGGGTTATGTCTCAAATCTGATTCGGGGGGGGGGTTAGTGAGGCTGGAGGGGGGCAGCAGGGCTGCGTCCATACTGACTGTGGCCCAGGGGTGGCACAACACCAGCACAGAGTTCCCATTTCAGTCCCTCCTTGGAAGGAGATGGGTTGGGAATGTATAGGGTGAATGACTGAGGTGTATTTTAAAGCATCGCTGAGGATGGACCCACTGGGGGTGGCACACGTGCTTGTTCACAAGCAGCTCAGTGTGCCTCAACCTGCTCTCCAAGGGCAAATTCCCACAGTTTCTACATTCCCAACACCCACAAATCCATTGTGTGGTGTTTGTAAAATCCCAGCTGCCACATCCCTGGGTTTCCTTGGCTTGGATGGGCACCAGCCCCAGGCAGGGCTGTGCTGCTGTGACTTCTGCCTGTCCTGTGTGGGGGTCTGTGGGGCAAGAAAAACTCCTCTGTCTGTGGCACTGCTGCCATTCTGCAAGGATGAGGCCTCAGAGGAGTTCTTGAAACAACTGGTGACACGGGTGGGAGCTATCAGTGGGCCAGATGTGATGGTACAGGCCACAATCCAGCCCCTTCCTGGAAAAAGTTGCATTGGAAGCTTATTTTCCTCCCATTTCCCATAGCAGAGTGGGTGGCTGCAGCTCTGCCATGGGGCCTCTGCTCCCCTGGGAGGAGATGGCACCAGGATGGCACCAGGATGGCTGAGCCTGACCCGTGTCCACCCACACCACTCCCCAGCCCTTCCTGGGACCAAAGGGACACTGTGACCGCTCGGTCATGGCCGAAGCCCTCGCCCACGGTGTGGGACAACTGTGGGCCCTGTGTCCTGACTCGCTCCGGCTGGGCGTGGGCAGTGCCCCGCAGTGCCTTTTGGCACAAGATAATTTGGAAGATGATGGGAAATGGGGTTTGAGATGGTGCCTGGCCCACTGCTGCCACCGCAGAGGTCCCTTGGGTCCCAGCCCGCGGAGCCGTGGGAGGACAAAGCCAGTCAGGAACAGTAAAGTGAGCTGTTTTCCTGCACACGCCTCTCCCGAGCCCCCAGGACACCTCAAGCTCGGGCACCCTCCTGACTACCGGGGGGCTGGGGCTGGGGGTGCCAGGGCTCACACCCCCAAATCCACAGAGAGAAAAAATTTTAAAAGTTATAAAAACTAATATACACACACACACACACACATAAATGAAAAATAAATCCACCCTGGGAGCGCGGGCCAAGCTGTTTGTGCCACTGTCTCCGCGGGCGCGGATGCGATAAGATAAAGGCAGCGGCGGGGAGGGGCGGAGCTGCGCGGAGCTGTGCGCTCCCGCGGGCGGACGGACGGACGGACACACGGACAGTCATACGGACAGACAGAGAGACGGACGGACAGACAGGCGGGCGGACGGACGGACGGGGCGGCCCCTCCGCTCCGCCCCCGCGTAGCCTCCGCCCCCGGCCGCGCCGCTCCGCTTTACATAACCCGTCCGGGGCCGGGGTCCGCGCCCCGCGCCTCCGCCCGGCGGAAATGCGGAGCCGCCTGCCCCTGTTTCCTGCCTGAGCAGAGCCGTGCCGAGCCGAGCCGTGCCGAGCCGTGCGCCCCGTCCCGCCCGCCCCGTCCTGGGCGCTCCGGCGCTCCACCATGGGCGAGCGGCAGCCGGACGCCTTCTCGTGCAGGTAACCACGGGACAGGGACAGGACGGGACGGGCTGGGCTGGACCGGGACGGACTGGGACGGGTTGGGCTGGGCTGGACCGGGACGGGCGGCCCCGGGAAGCGGCCGCTGTAAAGTGAAAGTAGCAGCGAGGGGAGGCAGCGCGGCGGCCGCTCCTCCTGCACAGCCTCCGGAGCCACCCCGCAGCCCCGGGCTGGATCCTCTCCTTCCGCGGAGCTCCGGTGCCCCTCTTCCGGGGTCGTGATCCCCCTCCTCTGTCAGCCCCCAGCCCTCTGATACCTTCTCCCCCGTCCCTCTCGCCCGCACCCTGTTTCTGCGAGGGGCATTCTTATCCCTGCCCTTTCCTCGGGCTCCCTCTTTCCAGGGGCTGTGCTCACCCCTGGGGACCCCGGCCTCCCAACGCCCGTTTCCCCCGTGGGCACTCCCTTTTCCGGGGGTTCTGTTCCTCTGTAGGTGCCCCAGTCCTGAGGACTCTCATCTTTCTAGCACCCCATTACCCCAGAGCACCCCAGCTTCTGGAATCCCTCAAGGTCCCCCATTTCCTAGCATCCCTATCCTGGGGACCTCTGATCCAGGGGTGCAGCATGTAGTGAACCAGCCCTGCCCCTCTCCGCCGCCTCCCCCTGGCCCCCCACAGCCCCTGCCATGGGCGTGACCCCTCTTAGAGGGCGCAGGACCCTGTGGGGTGATGCCCACCTGACCCAGCCGTGATTGTGGGGTGCTACCCTGCCCGAGGGGGCCATGCCTTGCCTGCCCAGCTGCTCCCTTCTCCTCTGCCCCTGTGCCCATTGCGAGTGCCAAGCGGAGGTGCCACCCGGCGCCTGCCAAGCGGCTCCTCTGAGTTTCTGCTCCCTGCAGACTTTGTTGGCTCGCTGGCTTGGCAGGCGTGGGCGCTCGGAGCACGAGGCTGATGCCCCAGGGGTCAGCATCCCTGCGGCCTCTCCGTGCCCTGCCGGCGTGCCCAGCCCAGCCCGTGCCAAACCCCATCAGAGTCACCCGCGGAGAGCCCGGACCCGCTGGCTCCAACATGGCAATCACACGGTCATTGCTGCCCGGGCTGGGATTTACTGTCAAGGAAACCGGGATGACTTGTCGAGCTGCGATTTCGATATTGTTGTTGTAAATTGATTCAAGATGTGCTGGAGTTGTGGGCTGGTGGTGGCCCAGGGACTTTTTGGGGCTGCAGCCAGAGGAAGAGGTGGCAGGCGCAGGGACCTGGCACTGGCAGCTCCTGCATGTCCCCTCTGCATTCGGATTTGCTGGCAGGATATGGGATTGGAGTTTAAAGGCCCATGGAATTAGTGGCAGGTTTCACTTTGACTTGTTTGGGGCTGGAACAATGTTTTGGATTTCTTTTTAGCTTGTTTTTGGGGCAGGAGAGCCTCATCCCTGTGCATTCCCCCCACCCCAATACTGCTTTTATAGTTTCTGTTGCCTTTATGAATGTATTGTCTATGGAAAGATCTGGTTTGGTTTCACCAGAGCCTACGAGGAAGAGGGTCTGCCAGCCCCCTGTATTGCAATGGAAAGATTGGGGTGCAAGTGCCAGTGGCTTTTGAGGGATCTTCCATCCTCCCCCAGAGCAAATCCTCCCCACCCACACACCCGTGGGACTGACGGACACTGAAGGTGTCAGGACAAATCCCAGCGGGTGACACAAAGTGAAAGTGCAAGAGCTCGGCGCTGGCAGGGTTTGTGGTGCTGGCAGCGCTGCCGCGGCTTGGCAAGGAGAGATGGCCCAATCCAACCCTTGGGCACTGCTGTGCCGAGCCAGGAGAGCCGGGCTGGCTGGGAGCTGAGCTGCTCCCTGCTGTCCTCAGGGACCCCCAGCCGGCCGCTCCCCCGGGAGCGCTCCCTGCACCCGGTTTCTCCCACGCCTACACCGCAGCGACTCGTTTCATGCAACAAAACAAGCCCTGTCGAAAGAGGCCACCCCGCTGCTGCCGGGCTTTCCCCCGCAGGCGGTGGGTGTAGGAGAGTGTGACGGTGTAAACCAGGCTGCAAAGTGCCAGACGCCACGGGGATGGGCGCTCAGGGGAAGCAGGCACGGGGTTTCTGGGGAGCTGGGCTGGCCACGGTGGCTTGTCCTGGTGAGCTCCCATGGGCCAAGCCAGTGTGGAGCTTGTAGTTGACCTGAGACGGGTGTGGGATAGGCTGTCTCCATCTCATCTATCCTGTTGGAGGGATCAGAGGAAGCCAAAGGGGTGATTTCCCTCTGATTTTAAAGTGCCATAACATCACTCATCCCCAGAGACCTGTAGTGCTGCTCAGCCCACGCAGAGCTGTAGATTAAGGCCAGTTTTGGCCTTTAGTGTAGAAAGTTGTGTGGTGCCAGGAGGTCAGATGAGAGGGGTGTGAATGTCCTGTGAGAAAGGGGGAAAAGGAGAGCAAAATCCCCAACCTCCCAAACTGTCTTTTAACCTGATTTCCATAAGAAAACAGCCTGTATGGACCTGTGGATTGGGGGATCTCACCAATCTACTCCTTTGTCACTTTTTAACTTGCTGGTTTGGTTCAGCCAAAGGAGAGAGAGGGAAGGTCCTGAGACTCCCTGGGATCCTCCAGCTTGTGTGGAAACAACCAGCAGGTCACAGGGAGTGATGGTGCTGTGCCATCACCTTTTATGAGACCCCAGAGAATCCCCACCACCATGGGGGGCTCCCCCAGAGGGAAGAGCAGGACATTGCCAGGCAGTTTCTGCTGTGGATCATATTGGCCTGAAGCACAAACGGCCTTGGCTGTTTTATAGTGATGCTGTAAATGTGTGGGTGTATCCCATATCCGGAGGCTGCAGCCGAACCCTTTCCCACCTCTCCCCCTGCACCAACCCCTCCTGCCTTGCTGAGTGGCAGCATCTCCATGTCCACTCCCAAATGGCTGTAGTACCATTTGTCCCCCTCAACTCAGGGGTGCATCCAGATATTCCTCCAGCATCCTCCACCCTGGTTTCGGGGGATCGGGATGCATAGAGGGGCTGCACTGTCCCCATCCCAGGGGAATACTCTGCACTGTCCAACCCTTGCAAACCCATCTTTGGCTGCCTGGATCTGCTAGGGACCTGAACCCCCCCAGGGACCTGCATCCCCCTGAACCCCCCCAGGGACCTGCATCCCCCTGAATCCCCCATGCCGGATGCTTTTCCATTGAAAAGCGCCGTTCATTGTAACCCAGCCTTTTATAGCTGCCTCGGAGTGGGCTGCGGGGCCGTGCCAAGAAAGGCTGCAGCCGGCTCAGAATAGCTCTTTTCATGGAGGACATCCTGGGAAGGAACAATGTCCCCGCTCTTGGGATTGTGGGAACTTTGTCTTTCTGCCACTTGGGAAGCGGGGAGCTGTGGGGCCGACCAGGGCGTCTCCCAGCCCCTCGCTTCACCCTCTCCTCAAAATAGTCCTTGGGGTGAGCTTTGAATAGTCTCGTGCTTATAAAGGGAGCTGAAAATGCTGCCGGCCACTTCTCCTCCGGCTGGGAACAGTTATTTCTGGGAGAACCGGCACATCAATCTGATTTCCTATTCTCGTTGCTGGCGTGCATTTTCCTGGCGTGGAGAGTGGCGGCGAGTGGGGCCGGTTTCATTTTCGGATCGCAGCGCCGGCTGCGCTGCACACGGGGCTGCCCGTGCACACGTGTGGGAGCAGAGCTCGGAGCAGGGCACGGCCACACGGGCCCTGCTCCCTCACATGTCCCTTCGAGGCCGGATCTGCAGCTCTGGGTGCTGGAGGATGCCCTTCCCCCAAGGCTGCAGCCCCTGGTGGGAAGGTGGCATGCCGGATCCGGCAGCCCCTCCGTGGCAAGGCTGGCCAGCTGGCTCCGAATGCTCATCCTCCGGGAGCGGGTGGCAGGATTGCGGCACTGGCTCCCGGCGCTGCCCTGGCACCGCTCGGTGCTGCCGGCTCCTCTGGCTGCAAGTAAACAACAAATGCATTTACTGGGACAAATAACCCATTGCTGGATCCAGCCGTGGATTCCCATCCTTGCCCCGCCGCCGCAGCAACGCTCAGGTTGGGCAAGCGTTTAAGGAAAGCTCCCGGGGGCGGCTGGGCTGGATCCTGCGCAAGCCCCAGCTCGCAGCCCCACCCGCATCAAAGCCACCTGCGGCTGGTCTGTCCCATCCCGCTCTTCCTCGAGCTCCTGGCCCAGCACCCCGAAACAACCCCAACACCAAAAACAACCCCAGCACCCACAAACAGCCCTGAAACGGGGTGGGCTGGGTGATGTAAGGCTCTTCCAGCATCCGGGGGCGATGGTAGCCCCCCATCCCATCCAGCCCACTGTGTGTCCAGTGGTGGGCTGGATTCTTCCATTCAGAGCAAATTAAAGCAATTAATTGTTGTGACAAGTCCTTCATCTCAGTGCTGATCCGCAGGGTGGATGGAAGCCCCTCGTAGCATCATACAGGGAAAAAGGGATGTAGATGGAAAATATGCTTTCAAGCCACTGGCTGCTGGATTCTGGCACTGTGGAGCACGACAGGCTAGAGCAGGGAGAAACCCAACCATCAGTGGGGACTCATATCCCTGTGACATGTCCTGCCGAAACCTGAGGCCGAGCAGAGGATTGGGATGCTGCTGTGGTAACTCAAGCATGGATTCATCCAGGATAGCTGTTTCCATGTGGGAAGTGCACCGGGCAGGAGCAGTGAGGTCGGCATTGTGCCACTACTGGGAGGAGGAAGCGCTGGGAAGTATTTCCTGTTGTCGGGTTGGAAAAGCACGTTGCTACCGGAGACGGCCTTCGGCTGCTTCCCGCCGCATGGCACAGGCGAAGCCCGGCTTTTCCCGCACCGCAAACTTCTCCCGAAGCTGGTGTGAAGCGAACTTGAAAACTTGGAAGGCTAATTCCCTGTCCTGGGAATCTCCCACCTGCCTGAGGAACCATACGCGTGGGCGCCTCGCTTCCCTCTGCGTTTTGTGGGAGCATCCCGCTGAGCGTGCTGGCGGCGTGGGTGGCTGTGGCGGCGATTCCTGGGTGCCGGGAGGAAGCGGGAGCACGGCAGAGGATGCTGAGTCATTGGCAGGCTGGCGGTGCTGATAGACGGGGCCCTGCCGGGGGATTTGGCCGGGCTGCGGTGGGCGCATGCCCGGCACCGCCGGAACGCCGGCCGGCCCCGAGCCTTGGGTGGCTCTTCTGAGAAGCCAGGCCCCGACGAGGCTGGCGGGGGACTGATAACATCTCCCCTCACCGAGAACCTTCTTGGGACGTGCTCGGGAGGGCGGCGGGTGGGCAGAGATAGAGCCCCGCTTCCCAGCGTTATCACCGCCCTGGCTGCAGACACCATCCCCTGTGCCGGCACGTTCCTCAGCGCCCGCTCGCTTCCTCCTGGCCCTTCAGGTTTTTTTGTTTTTCATTTTTCCTCCCCCTGACAAATGCAATCACTTTTCCTCCCCTCCCAGCAGCCAGGGTGCTGCTGCTGGAGTTTCGGGGAGGCAGTGGTGCCGGTGCCGGCACAGCAGAATCCGGGTGGGTTGGCCGATGTTTCCTGCCTGAGTGGAGTGCACGGCCCCGATAAGTGCCACGGGCGAGCACGAGGTTGGGTGGTAAGCAGTGGGGCCGGCCGTGGGGAATGCCACTGCCGGGCTCAGTCGGGCACGCCAGGGCAGCTGCACGCCAGCCATGGTGCCGTCAGATTGGCCTCACAGCGAAATCTGCTGGGGGCAGAGATACGGTGTGGTTTGCCAGAGCCTGGCAACTCCTTGATCCCACAGGCAGCAGAGCATCCCCCTGGGAACGCTCGCTCACCCCGGGCAGTGCCGGCGGTGTGGCCGTGTCTCCCCAGGCCGCTGGGGCCAGGAGGATCCGGCAGGTCGGCAGCTCCGTCGCTGGATTTCTGCAGCTTTTCATGTCGTTTCCTCCCCTCCCACCCCCACTCCAGTTTTATCAGCTCCGTTGAAATAGGTCCCTGGAGGAAAACCCATCGGCGCTGTGGAGCCTTGGCAGGAGCAGAGCGGATGTGGCCGGGCCAGGCGTCCCCGCGGGCGGGCAGCTGCCGGCAGCTGTGCTGGCAGGAAGCCGCGCAGACGCCCCGCACCGGGACCTGCCCGCACCCCACCTTGCAGGTGGGGAAACAGAGGCACGGCCTGGTCACTTGGGCATGGGGGCTCGGGGTCCTGCATGGCCCCTGCTGGTGGCAAGGGCCGAGCCATAGTGGTTGCTCACACGGCCATGCTGCTCACTGGGGAGCTGGCTGCCCCTGGGCCACTTCCAGTGTGTCCCAGGTGAGTGAAGCAGCTTCGGCTGGACCCACAACATGTCCCAGGCTACGGACATGCATCTGGAGTGGAGTGTGGTCACACCAACCAGGGGCTGCAGGGACTGGGGGAGACATGGGGACATTGGGGCTGTCCTGACCACCCCTGTGCTCTGTCTTGCAGCGCGGCCACCTCGCTGGAGCCACGGCAATGAATGGGCAGGCGCTGCCGGCCGGCACGCCAGCGCATCCCCGGGGCTGGCATGAGTTCTGCGAGCTGCACGCCATCAGCACCGCCAAGGAGCTGGCGCGGCACTACCTGCGCTTCGCCACCGAGCACCCACACCATGACCTCCTGGCCGCAGAGAACTTCTCGGTGCAGTTCACCGACCTCTTCCAGCAGTACTTCTGCCACGAGGTGAAGGAGGGCATCGCCATGAACCAGCTCTGCATCCTGCCCGGCGGCCCGGCGCGGGATTACCGGGACACGCACCGGCGGCACACCGACGCTTCCTTGGGCACCGTGGCCACCAAAGCTGAGGTGGAGCCTGGCACCCGCCCCGAGCAGCCCGTCCGAGCCCCCGAGGCTACCCCGTCCGGACTGCGCAAGTCCTGGAGCTCGGAGGAGCTGGCAGGGCCGGCACGGAGGCCCTTCTCGCTCAGCCAGCTGCGCAGGAGCTGGCGCAGCCTCTTCCGACGCCGCTCCTCGGATGCCCTCCCCGGGGATGGCGATGGGGAGGCGACGGAGGCGACTCTCAAGCCGGGACTGGGCAAGCGCATCCTGCCGTGGGGGCTGTTGCGGGAGCAGCCCCCCCGAGGTGCGCAAGGAGGGGCTCCTCAAGTATGGGCTGCTGGACGAGAGCTCCCTGGACAGCGGGACGCGATGGCAGCGCTGCCGCCTGGTGCTGCGGCGAGCGGGGCCTCCCGACGCTGAGGACTTTGTGCTGGAGCTCTATGACCCGCCCAAGGTAAGGACATGCCGGCTCTTGCCTGTGCCAGCTGCGTGATGCTGTGGGTCCCGCAGTTGGGGACGATGCCAGGGTGCCAGTGTGTCCCACGGGAAGGAGCGGGGCCGTGGTGTGTCCCTCATCATGAGGGTTTCTCACCGTGAGTGGTGGTGGGACCAGGATGGGTTTGCTCTGCCACTGCTCTTGCTCCGCTGCAGCCACAAGAGGCTGCACCCTGTCAAATTAATACCTCTGAGGAGAGCAGATCCCTCTGTGGTGGTGTTTTTGGGGGTGACCCAGTGCCAAGGGTGACGTGTGCACTAATTAATGCAGTTGGTCAGTATGTCATTGCATTTCTCCCTGCTGGGACCTGGGTTTTCCAGCTACAAGCAGAGTGCGTGCCTTCCAAGCTGAGGATAGAGGCCGATGGCCTCCATCCCACTCGTGCCCAGCCACATGGACCCGTCCCAGCAAGGTGAGGGGTCACCCAGTGTGGTGAACCCAAGTTCACTGCGTCCCTGCTGTGCTGTAGCTTCAGCAGCCTGAGCATCTGCTTGCCTGGGCAAGCTGGGAGAGGAAAGGGAAAATAGGAATTAGGCTCCGTGCCTTTCTCTGCTCCCACTGGGACTTGTAAGGGAGTTTAATTTTACTTTTTGTAAGTAGTTTTTTGACTGGAAGTTCAGCTCTCGGCTACCCCAGGGAGCTCCCGTGGTGCTTGGACGTGGCTGGAGCGGAGATGATGCAGGATGTGAGGGAGTGGGTTGCGATGTGGGGGGAGCTGGGGTGTTTAATCTTTAAAAAGACGGTTCCTCCACATGGCAGGTCTTACGCAGGCGTGATGGAATGAATTTTCTCTTTCTTTTTCCTTTTTTTTTTTTTTTGTGCTCGTTTAACTTTGATGACAAACTTGTGCTTTAGAAGGAGGAAGCCTGGGTAGAGCTGGAGCCTCATCCCTGCCTTCAAGGCAGAAGGGTCAGGGAGCAGCTGGCTGAATTCCTGCTATTTCCGTCAAACGGCTCCAATATTAAATATTTGAAAAAAGAAACAACATCAAAATTGTAACATCTGAAAGTAAAAGCTGGTTTTGCTCTCTCGTGTCAGGGGTTGCAGTTGTTTTCCCTGTGGGAGCGTGTCCCAATCCTGGGGCACAGGGAGGTCAGCGTTGTTTTGGGGCACTTTGAGGGTACTCCCAGCAGCTGGGCAGCACTTCCTTTTTTCCCTTCCTCCCCTTTTTCCCCCTTTTCATCCTCTTTTACTCCCCTTTTTCCTCTTTCTTTCCCTTTTTTCTTTCTTTCCCACCTTTCTATTTTCTCCTCCCCCTTTTTTTTATTTCCCTATTTTTCTTTTTTCTTTTCCCCTTTTTCTTTTTTCTTTCCTCCTCTTCTTTTTAATTCCCCCATTCTTTTTTTCTTTCCCCCTTTTCTTTTTTTCTTTCCCCCTTTTCTTTTTTTCTTTCCCCTTTTTCTTTTTTTCCTTTCCCCTGTTTTTTTTCCCTTCCCTCTTTTTTCTGTATTTGTTTCACTCCCCCTTGGGAAGCAAGCCCAGCACATTCTTCCTCTCCCCACATCCCCTGACCAGCTTTGACCCAGGGATGGGAGACATTTAAAACAAGACATTTACCAAGTTCCCCCAGTGCTCTGCACCATTATTTCTTGCAATCCCCATGGGATGGGGATTTCCTGGTGCTCCCCACCACCACGAGGCCGGAGCCTCTGCTCTACCCCGGAGCCCCAAGTGGTGGTTTCTCAGCCAGGGCTGCGGAAGTGGAGGATGTTCCTCGCTGGATTTTGCAAGTCTCTGGATTAAATTGCTTCCTGTGCAAATATTCTCAGGGCGGCTCCTTCCTTTCCAATTCACTGGGCCAGGGCCAGCTCCTGTCTCCTTTACAGCACAATCAGTCCAGACCCTTTCCCAGTAACTGCGGTTGGATTCCGGGGGTGGTGGAAAATCACCCACAGTGCCGGTGGCTCCCACTCCCAAAACTCAGCACAGGGGCAAACCACGGAGCAGTGGGAACAGAACAGCTTTTTGGGGGGTTATTTTCCTTAAAAATAACTAAATAATAACCAACAGCCCCCTCCTCTCCATCCTCCTGCCCTAGGATGCTCCCAGGCCTTTTGCCCATCTCATGGATCTGTTCCTGATTTGAGGATGCTGTTGATTATCGTGGAAATGGAAAACCTATGAGTTTAAATTAGCAACTATAAAACCAGTTCTTGGGGCATTTTCAGCCCTGACTGATCTCTGGTTGGTCACCCTCAGGGTCTCCTTGGAAGCACCCTTCCCCCATCCTCCTCTTTCTTCCCCCAAACCTCCTCTTTATTCCCCCTTCCTCTTCTTTCTTTTCCCTTCCTCCCCTGTAAATAACAGGATGTAGCTGGAAATTCAGCTTGGCCTCAGGGCTTTACAGCATCAAGCCAAGCCCCCGAATATCCAGCCCCTTGAAATGACCTTGGAAAAGGCAGGTGTGTGGAGAAAAGGGGGGTTGTGCTGCTTTTGGCAGCTTTTATCTTTTTTTTCCCCCTTTCTCCTGATGCTCCAGTGGGGCCTCTGAGGTTAATCCCATAACTTGCCCAGCATCAAAGGGAGCGGGCACTTTGAAGAGCCCTGATCCCATTTGCTGCTTGGGTGGCTGTGCTGGGTGAAGGGGTCATTCCCTTCCCCAGGCATGTGCCAGAGGAGATGAGGATTTTGGGAGAAGGAGCAGCTCGCCTTCCCGTGCTCACAGCCACGTCTGGGTTGTTTTGACATCGCTCCTTCCTCCCTGGAGCACTGGAAAAATGATGTTGTGAAGATGGGGTTTGGAGATGATTGGATCTGGAACTCTCCTGGGAGTAGCTCTCTTGCACTGGGCACAGGGTGGGTGGCACCTGGATCCCCACCCTGGGGACATTCCGGAGGGTTCTGGGATGTGAGGAGGCTCTGGAAGAGCACCTGCAGCAGAGGTGTATCTGTAGTGCTTGTATATATGAGTGTATATATACATGTGCACATGTTTTCCAACAAGGGAACACCTGGGAATGGTCCTGGGTGTGCAGTTCTGTTGGATTCTCTGATGTCTGGTATGAGGGTGATGCTCACCAGTCCTCCCTGCTTTCCTTGGAGGCACTACGGGCTTTCTCCTCTCCCATGGCATTTATTCCCATATAACGTGTAGAACTGGGCATCTCTGAGGTCTCTCCACCTTCATAAATTAAAGCCAAAGCTGTCAAAAGCCAGGTTTGTGTGTTTTGGGACTGCCTTATTCCTCAGCTGAGCCCCAGCCCCAAATACCTTGTACATGGCCAAATCCCAAGCTCCATGAAAACCGTGATTCGCAACGGAAATGTCCCAAGCCGTTTCTGTTGACCAGATGTTTTTACAGGAAGGGGAAGGGAAATGGGATTTGCATTTGTGCTGGTTTCTTTATGGTGTTTTAATGAGATCCAGTGCATCCCATAAATTGATGGCATGCTGGGATGAGCTGGGAAGACTCTTTCCGGTGAAAGCCCACGGTGTCTCGGCTCGTCCGTCTTTGCCGTGGCTGCAGGAGGAGCAGTATTTTTATCTCTGCTCAGTGTGAGACTGCTCTGACTTCCTTTTTTTTTTCTCTTTTTTTTTTTTTTTTTTTTTTTTTTTTTTTTTTTTTTTTTTTTT